CCCCCCCCCCCCCCCCAATATAACGATGACCAGCTAAGGTTCCAATGATCATATAAAAGAAGACAGAAGCAGAAATTAAGAAGTTGTGCTTTCTTATTCTCTCCCATTACCACCTCTTTGAGATGGCCCTACACTCTTTGGCTTTGTTTTTATTTCTAACATACCCAAAGAACCCTTTGGTTTTGGTTTCTCTTTCTCGTTCTGAACTTTAGCCTTTCTGAAAAGTTCCTACAGTTTTTGGATACTACTTTGTATTCTTGTTTTCTTCCTCCTGTCTCCTGTATGTACCCTTTTCAGTATTTTAGAGAGCTCTGCATGCATCTGTGGTGGTCTCGTAAAGTTCTTCCCTTTTTCCTTCAGTATCTTGTTTCACTGAATTTTCCATTCAACACTGGAGTTCATCAAAATCTGCTCTTCTGAAGTCCAGTATGCAGGCCTGACTTTTCTCAGTTATTCCTCTGGATATCACAAATTCAAGAACAATGTGATCACTTTACCCCAAGGTGCAAGTTTCCTTCACTTCAACCAATTCCTCCCTATTACTGAGGGCTAGGGTCCAGGACACTAGACTCTTGTTCTTTTTTACACTTTCTGACATCATATAATCAGGCTGCACACTGGGTAACACCCATCAATATGATGTAACTTCTTTCTCAAGGTAGCTCTGAGGTTTCTTCAATCCATGGGGGCCCAAGTGTCTTTTACAATGTTCTGTTGCTGTGGTTTGCCCAGGTGGCTGTTCTTCTTCCTCTAGGAGCGCCTGGGACCAGTGATCCTTTTGCTTTTTCGTGTCATTGTTTCACGTGCTTGCTTGTGCCAGAGGGTCTCCCCCTCCCCTGCAATTGATTATTTCTCTGTTCCTTCTGGAGAGCTTCAACTATTCAGTCAAGAAACTTCTATCTTTTCTAATGCCTTTTAGTATTGCAACTTTCTTCTCCAGTCCTGTCACTTTTGCTTCTAATAAGGAAACACACTTGCAGGAGGTGTAGTTTGGATGTTCCCAGGCAGGAAGACAAACAATACATATTCTTTGCAAGTCACGATGATGCTTCCCTTGTGGCTTGGAGTCTTCCCTGCCAACTTCCATAGCTAAACCCATGCAAATCTTTCCTGTTGCTTGTTCTGGTTACAAGCTTTCAGAAGCTGCCTTTCTAGATGAAGACTACCCTGGACTGACAGAAGGAAATGGAAAAGAAGAAAGAGAAAGAGCATCTCTCCCCCCCCCCCTTGACTTGGCCTGCCCAAATTCCTGTCTCCTTGCTTGGTGAGCTTGCTTTCTCATAACTGGGTTGTTTATATATCCCCTTGAGCTGCCTCAGCTAGGTCAGCAAGAATAAGGGTACAGTCAGACATAATGGTCAATCGCGCAGGAAATTATCA